GCTTATGCCCCACTCTCGCGCCATTGCGCGTGCCTCGTCACCGCTGATCTCCTCGCCCGTGTGGTAACGCGCGCCCGACTTTCTTATGCCTATGCGGTCTAGGACTCCTCTCGCGTTGTAACGCCCCACTTTTATTTACCGAAAATCAGAATAAATTTTTCGAATTTATTTTAAAAACAATATTCGAGGCGCTACTCATTTTCAAATCAATAATCAATACTCGACATTTTCTCCATATTCGGCAATTATTGATACTCATAATCAATAAGAAAATCCCAATAATCAATCAATAATCCAATAATGATCCTAGGGAAGTAATCCATATCAATAATCCAATCCTAGAAAAACAATAGTCAATAATAATGCAATAATATCCAAGTTCCATTCAAAGCGGAAGCATTTATTCAAATTAAAGACCACCACTCGCATCCCCTCCGTCGTGCCGCTCTATCTAACCTGCATCCATGAAGAGCAGGTGGGGATGAGCACAATAGGAAACAGTAGTGCTCACCGCTATGCCATAAATATTAATGTCAATAATCAACAGTAATCAATAATCAAAAGGTATGGTCTCAGCATGTATACGAAACAATAATCTATCCCATTCTCCCATCAATAATACAATAATCAGACTCGTGTGCACACCTACGCATAGACTACTGCTGACTATATATTGAATGCCCTCCGGTCCTACATCGAGTGCCAGCCAGTAGGAGTAAACCACCCCACCGGCCAAGGTCTTGCCTTGGACTTACCAATGAGGATCACCGGCCGAGGGACCTAAGCCCTGGTCTTACGGATTCTCAAGGGAGACTACCCGAAGGTACGTTCTATATCTACGGGGACAACCGTCCGGTGGCCGATACAGCTCACACCGAAGGCTACATGATTCACATGCATACTTTGATCATACCACAATTAAACAGCAATAACATTTAAGGCATAGTAAATTTTACAATTACAACCCACCTGGAAATTTCAGTAGAAAATGGCACACAAAAGCAAGCACGTAGAAAGAGGTTCGACTCCTCAAACACCTACATTTAAGCGAGATAATTTATCAATAATTTATATCACTACTAGAGTTTAACATAAAATCCATACTTAATAAAAATTAAGATTTACGGGTTTTAATCGGATTTTTCGTGGACTTGGAACTCTCTAATTTTTGCAAAATAGGACAAGGAAAATTAATTTGGAGCCTCGGGACTTAAAATAATTTTCTTAAATTTTGCTACTTTGAAAATAATTTTTTAAAAATCGAAATCGGTATTAAAACGAGTTTCCGGAACTCAAAATAGGCTTAAAAGTCAACTTGGGGTGCCAATTAAAATTTCTGGGCTTCATTAAAGGAATTGGGCCTAAACATAGGTTTGGCCCAACGCTCATATGGGCTGGGCACACGCGGGCTGAAGGAAGGGCCTCTCGCGGGCTTGCGGGCCTGCAGGCTGCAGAGGAAATCCAGGCGCGCGCGGGCCGAAGTTCGGGCCAGAAAGCCCGCGCGCTGGGCTGCCTTATATATAAAAAAAAAGGCTACATTTCGCAAGCCCTGGGATAGAACCCATGACCTCGCGTACTAGGAAAGCACGCGTAACCGCTGCGCCACGCGAGCTGAATGTGCTTTAACTTACAGGCTTTACAAAATAAATTTAGAACAAACCTGCTACTGAACTAAAATAAAAACTGCGAAAATGAGAGGCCAAGTAGCAGATTGAACAGAACAGGCTGCAGGTTTTCAACAGCAAAAATTTTCACAGAATTTTTACCCAAAATATAATGACCCTTCCAGAGTTCGAAAACCTTACGAAAACGGGGTTTGCTCGGAATAAGAAACGACACTTAACGGTTCGAAACAACCAAACGACATAACGACTACGACACGGCTCCAATCAATAAGAACGAAACGCTGAAATTAAATTGAATTTGCCAAAACAACAGTTTCAAGACATTGTAAAATTTGATAATTCATACAGATTCAGAGTTTCAAACGTTTATAAGAACCGGGTTCGAGCAACACGTAACCGGCCTGAACAATTCTTGCATACTCGAGTGATGAATATAACAACTCGGAAGAATTTAACGAGACTCCGAATCTACCATTAATTTGCAGCAATTAGAACAGACTCGATTTAACTAAGTCGAGAGTTCCGAATCACACGAAAAATTCACCAACATAATCCGACAATCAAAATGATTAAACGAGCCGACAAATGAAACGAAAAAAAAAAAATCGTTCAACTAGCGAATAAACCAACGACGTGATTTACGAGCACGAAAAAATAACGAGAGGGTTCTCCGATTACCTCTCTTCTGGAATCGACGCGCTCAGTTTGAAATCGAACGACGGAAACGAACTGGGACTACGAAAGCCCGAAACTCCGATCAATCTACGATGGCTTGGATCTTCTGAAATCCTCGGGGTTCGTCGACGGCTCACTGAGGGTCTGAAGGAGACACTGGAATTTGACGATTAACAGAAAATTTTTGAGGAGGACATCGGTGGCAGAAGCTCGACGAACGGGGTTGACCGGAAACAATGGCGGACGGCGGTGGTTGCGGGTTCTCACTCCGACGGATGAATCAACCTCAGATATGGAACACGCAGATTTGATTAGGGGATGCTGGCGACTGATTGCTCGAACAGAGAGGGTGAATTCACCGGAATTCAGGTACACTGTTCTTCATATTTTTTTTTTTTGGATTAAAGAGAGAGAGATATGAGGCGTTCTGAATTATAAGGGATCGAACGGGGAGAGGCGTTGGCTGAGTCTTATGAAGACGTGGGAGGATATCGTTGATCGGTTGGAGAGATAAGGGAGAACGAGCGAGATTCCTCACGCCTAAATCGGAACAAGGTTTTGAACGAGAGGATAATGGTGGACTTGGTCTCGCGTGAAAGAGGAGAAGTGGAATGGGTCTGCTTGTAATACTTAATTGGGTCACAAAATAAATCTTGGGCCAAAATAATGCATCATAATTTGGGCCTCAATTATATATCAATTGAGCTGAAAATTGAATACTCATGGGGCTGCAAAATATACAAGATTAGGCCTATTTATTAACTCAAAAAGGTTGGAATGAAGATAATGCGATTACAAGGATTTTTCGAGCGATGCGATTGACGACGAGTAATAAATTAATACAGATTATCTATATTTATAATACACACAATATTTTAAAATAATAATATTAATACTAAAATTATACATTTAGACAAATAGTTACAATTTGACAATTAATAATATTTAAGACAATTAATATTAATAATAGCAACATTACTAATAATAAATAAATAATGGCAATTTGACAGTTAATAGCAATTATAATAATAATATAATAATAATAATAATAATAAAGACAATTTAATAATAGTAATAATTAATACTTATTCTCCAATAATCCAAAATAAAACGGGGTATTACAGTCTATCCACCTTACAAAGAATTTCGTCCTCGAAATTCAAAAATAAACTAGAAAGCAATAAAATGCAAAGGGGACTCAAAACTCGAAGTTCGGATATCGCCTCCGAAGCTCGGCCTCCTTTTCCCAAGTCGCCTCTGACTCGTCATGTCGGCTCCAAAGCACCTTCACCAAGCTCACTGCCCGGTTCCTCAACTGATGGACCTTCTGGTCCAAAATAGCTACCGGTACCTCCTCGTAGGTAAGGTCTCGCTCGACCTGCAGTTCGCCGAAGTCCACCACGTGACCGGGATCATGCACGTATCTCCGCAACATCGAGATGTGAAACACGTCATGCACTCCCGACAAGCTAGGTGGTAAAGCCAGCCGATAAGCCAAGTTCCCGACTCGAGCAAGGATCTCGAATGGCTCAATATAACACGGTTTAATCTTCCCTCTCTTCCCGAAGCGAATCACACCCTTCATGGGCGAGACCTTCAGGAAGACATGATCTCCGACGGCATACTCGTGCTCATCCCTCTTCCGGTCGGCATAGACTTTGACCGGATATGCTACCGGATAGCCTCAACTGTCTTCGCAGCTCTAAGAATGAACTCCGGACCCATGATTGTCCTCTCCCCGACCTCATCCCAGTACAAGGGTGTTCGGACCTTACGTCCATACAATGCCTCGAACGGGACCATCTTGATCGTGGAGTGGTAGCTATTGTTGTAAG